GGTGCAGTGACAAGAAGTCCAGGGCAGGAGGAAGGCGTTGGAAACTAAAGCGATTTCACGAATCAGATCGGGAGAGAAAGAGTCTCTGAATCAAGCAAGCTCAATGTCCCAGTCCGAGTCCACTGCTGGTTTATGTTTCCTGTGGGGCTTTAGTTAAACCTACCAGGACAGTGTCCCCCCCTGCCATGGGCCTCCTGGAAACACACTGGCTGGAAGGAGGTTGTCCCCCAGGAGCAGCCAAGCCTCATGTAAGCACCAGGTCAGCGATGCCGTTGACTGGAGCTGGGGAAACACGTTTGCAGCCTGAAAAAAATGGTTCTGAAGAATCCCTTTCCCCTTCAAAACTAAAAAGGAACATTTCGGTAAGTGCTCTGGAGACACAGAAAGCAAAACTTTGAGATTTTCTTTGTATAACAGAAAGGAAATAAAAAAGCATAAAATGAGACAGTTGATAAAAAAAACAGTTTTGTTTGACTTGGGCCAAGGAAAATATTAAAATTTAGTGTAATTTCAAAGGAAAGCTGTTTAACGGTGAATCAAATGAAGCATTTTAAGGGTTTTTGCTGGAAGTGTTTTGTCAGTGTGACATAAACGTAAGGAGCTTTGATCAGATCGTTTTCCTAGTGAATAGCACCCACTGGGAAGCTGTAAGCAGCCTCTCTGTTCAGTGCACACCCAGGGAAGCCCGTCTGCTGCTGGGCGCCCCGGCGTGCTCAGGAGCTCTGCTTGTGAAACCGTGAGGCCTCCCAACCCATCCATGCAGCTCCGATGAGGGGATTTGTGGGATTTGTGCCCTCAGCTCCGGAGAGAGCCTTCTGCAAAGCCGCAAGCTGCGTCCCTCTGCACCTCGAGCGCACCGGCCACGTCCTTCCTTAGCATCCATTTCACGTAGCTGCGTTGTTCTCCTCCTCCTGCCTGGGAACCATGAATATTTCCGTGTCTGTGAGGCAGCTCCCTGGGATCTGCTTTGTTTGTGATTCCAGAAGAGGCTGCCTGGAAAGCCTTGCACAGGCACAGCCTGCCTCTCCGAGGCCCCGCTCACCGCCGTGCACCGTGTATCCTAAGCGGAAAGGTGACATTCAGCCTTCCCCGGTATAGCTGGCTACAGGAACAGCTCAGGACACTGTTTTCTCCCCTTGGCCTCCAGGACTGGTGTTTCTTTCAAAGCAAACTGCCTGTCCAGGTACCTTCCTGCTTTTTTGGAGGGAGTGCTTAGCACAAAGGCATTAAGCAGCCCAAAGCGCCACCCGCAGCAGACATGTCCCCAGCTCCAGAGTGAGAGCTCCTGCCAGCTTTTCAGCAGCCTGGTGTTACAGTGCACTTCAGCCCGCTGGAAAGGCTGACCAGGGAGCAGCAGCTTTGAGGCTGGTCTGAGCACCGGCACAGGCCTGAATTACTGTACTGCACTCGGCTCTTTGAACCACGTAACCTCCTGGAAGAGATGCACTCTTGATTTTAAAATGTGAAGAACCCCCCCTGCATTTGCTCTTCCAATGCTTACAGAATCACAGAATCACAGAATGTTTAAGGTTGGAAGGGACCTCTAGTGGTCATCTAGTCCAACCCCCTGCACACGCAGGGTCACCTAGAGCACGTGGAACAGGACTGCGTCCAAGCGGGTTTGGAAGATCTGCAGAGAAGGAGACTCCACAACCTCTCTGGGCAGCCTGTTCCAGTGCTCTGGCACCCTCACTGTTAAAAAAGTTTACCTTAAGTTCATGTGGAACTTTTGGTGCTTCAGTTTGTGGCCATTACCTCTAGCTCTGTCAGTGGCCACCACTGAAAAGAGGCCAGCACCATCCTCCTCACTGCCTCCCTTGAGGTACTTATAGACACTGATTAGATCCCCTCTCAGCCTTCTCTTCTCCAGGCTGAACAGGCCCAGCTACCTGCTTCTACTATTAATCTGCTCCTTATTTTTCATCTGGACTCATCAAAACCAGGAGATCTCATGCCTCTTCCTAAAACCCTGAAGAATGGTTCTTACCAGCTTCCTGCAAAATAAGTATCAAGTCACCTTTTCTCTGAGAAAAAGCTAAATACATCGTGCTTCTGTATTTGTTGGTGCTTTCGAGTCTGATTTTCTGTGCTTTTTTCGTATATTTTCTGTGCTTTTTCAAGCTTTGTAGCTAATCCTGGGACACTGCACTGCAGGCTGGAAGTCCTCCTAGCAATGTATGTGGTAGTGACGAGCATCTCCCTTCTTCGGCTCGATAGTTTCCTTATTTGTGCAATAACCTAAGCACCTAACTCTTCATCTAGTAAGGATATAAAAGATACACTGCGCTATTAAAAAAGAAAGAAAGAAAACCCACCAGGCTGGACATCACCGGCGCATGTCTGCCCAGCATGGGACTGAAAGGCATGAGCTGTGCTGCCAGTGTTTAAAGCATGACATGATTTGGGGATTAAAATTTAGAAGGAGAGGCCCTTCCAGCTCCAGGCCTCCGTTCAGTGCCGGCAGCTGCCTCGTACCGTGTACATGCCCTGCAGTCGGCAGGTTGCTGTCTCTGTGCTCTGGCCCTGCATAGGAACCAGAAGCAAGCGGACAGGAGCCAGCAGAAATGACATTTGCAGCAGAGCAGAGGTGTGCCAAGGGGCGCAGGGCCTGAGGGCACGTTTGGCTCGTGAAGAAGGTGAACAGAGCTTTGATGTGATGCAAACTGGCTGGTGCTTCTTCTAGAGCTGACCCTCTGCATGCACCCGCTGAGCCTCAGCCACAAACGCGGGAGCAGGGAGCCCTGCGAGCGGCCCTGCGCCCTCCTGTTCTCTCCTGCATGCTCCCATGTGCTCCTGCACGCTCCTGCAGCGCGCGAGCAGGGAGCCCCGCAAGCAGCCCTGCACACTCCCATGTACTCCTGCACGCTCCCGCACGCTCCTGCATGCTCCTGCAGCGTGCAAGCAGGGAGCTCTGCGAGCGGCCCTGCATGCTCCTGCAGCACACGAGCAGCCCTTCAGGCTCCTGTTCTCTCCTGCATGCTCCCATGTGCTCATGCATGCTCCTGTGCTCTCCTGCAGCACATGAGCAGGGAGCCCCGCATGTGGCCCTGCATGCTCCTGTTCTCTCCTGCATGCTCGTGCACACTCCTGTGCGCTCCTGCAGCATGTGAGCAGGGAGCCCTGCGAGCGGTCCTGCATGCTCCTGTTCTCTCCTTGCATGCTCCCATGTGCTCCTGCATGCTCCTGCAGCGCACCCCTGCACTCTCCTGTGAGCTCCTTCATGCTCCTGCATGCTCCTGCAGCGTGCGAGCAGGGAGCCCCGCAAGCGGCCCTGCACACTCCTGTGCACCCCTCGCCAGGCCGAGCTTCACCTCCTGCCAGCCCCAAAAACAGAGCTCAGGGAAGGCCTGTGCCGGTGCTGTGCTCCGCTCAGGCTGGCCTGTGGTGTCAGAATGCTCAGTCCTTGGAAACGCACAGCACATCTCTTGCACCCTGGTTTTGTACAAAGATCATTCAACCCTGTGCAGAGGCGCCAGCTCCACATAAATCCATGCTGTTAGAGTTCTCCCTTTTCACGGGGCAATGGGAATGCAGCTGGGGAAGCTGTTGTGTAGAGTGCCTGCATTAGAAAACCTCTTCTGGCAGAAGGGGTTGTGCTGCAGGGGAAGGGTGTCAGGGCAGCTCTCCTACCCTCACACTGACTGGTTCAGTCCTTCGCTCCAGGGCTTGTCCCTCCAGTGCTAGGTGGGCTCTGAGGCCAGACAGACTTATTACACCATATTTTCCAGCCCACCAAAAGGATAAAGTGTTGAGTTAATGTTTTTCTGCAGGCTAGAAAGTCCAGCTGGAACACGAGGGTCGCTGGCCTGCAGTTCCCTTTAAGTTGGGGCTAGAAGTTCACAACCGCATAAGATGGTAACCGCAGCATCTCGCGCTTTTGTCCTGTGATGTCCTTGTGCCCTTATTCACAAGGAGATTCTTCTTCAACTAGAAACGAGTGCTTGACTTGCTTCCTCCTGGGAGCTGTGAGTTGTTAGGATGAAGTCCTGGTCCCGCTGAAGTCAACAGCAAAACTTCCAGTGGCCTTTCAGGAGCCAGGATTCCACCCAAAATGGTTTGCAATGTGCCGTGAGATTCTCAGGTAGCCAGGTCTGACTGACCAGTGCCCTGTCCGGAGGATGCTGTGCTTTTCCACAACCTGTGGCTGGGGCGCGGAGCCTCCTTTCTGCTGGGAACGCTCCCAGCAGACAAGTTGTTGCTCTCTCTGCGCTCAAGCCCTGCAGGTTTTCTCCTCTGCTGGAGGCAGCTCATGAGCACTGACCATGAGGAATAACGTGAGGGGAGCAGGAGTCTGGGGGTCAGTTTGTCATCAAGCCTGAGCTGAGGCACTTGGCACTTGGGCACTTTGCCCCATCAAGCCTGAGCTGAGGCACTTGGCTGAGGTGCTGGGCTTTGCCCAAGAGGGTAGGATCACAGGGATTATTTTCAAGCATAGCAAGATCTCGACTGCAACAGAAGTGCTGGGCATTAGCTAAGGACAAATTAATGAAAGACCTGATTAACATATGTAAATCAGAAACCTGCATTTCCACTGAAGTATCTTCCATAGGCGATCTGGAGCTGAGTACGTAGGATGTAATTCCAGAGAACAGCAGGCTACATTTCAAGGGAAATATCAGGCTTCTTCAAGAAAAACTTGCAGCATTTGCTCCTAATTTCAGCAATATTTCATACAAATCATTTGATGGCAAAAGGTGTCTGTTTGCATAAGGGCCAGGACTTGGATACTGACCCTACTCCTCGATACTGACTCTGTGGTCTGAGTCCTGTAAGGGCTGTTTTGTGGGATCCTGCAGCCCATGGATCATAGCACAAGAACAGAAGATGGACTGTGTGCTGTCTTGCTGCTGGAGCAGACAGGCTCTGGCAGCGCCGTCCACGGACAAAGGCAGAAGGAGACAGTGCCCACAATCTGAGGCAGGGCTGGTGGGAATCTTTGAGGATGCTTCCCCTGCTTTTGCGTGTCAGACTCATGCCTTCTCTTTCTCCTTTCTCTCCAGGTAAGAAAAATTCCATTCTGCTGCATAAAGTCCAGCACGACCTCAATTCAGGTGTTTTCAACTACCAGGAGAATGAGATCATCCAGCAGATCGTGCAGCATGACAGGGAGATGGCTCACTGCGCCCACAACGTCCAGGCCGCCGCCGCGGCCGCTGCCGCCTCCACTGCCACCCCCGTCATCTGGACGCCGCTGATCCAGGCGCCCCTGCAAGCCGCAGCGGCTACCACATCGGTGGCCATAGCCCTGACCCACCACCCGCGCCTGCCCACCCCCCTCTTCCCCCCCCCGG